TCATTTTTAAAACTGTACCTTTGGTTTCATTTAACATTTTCAAAATAGCTTTTCTTACCACTAAAACCCCCTCCCCCACTCCTCAGCAGCCCCAGAGAAAAACTGGGAGTTCTGTGTTGAACACTGAAAATCCTTCATACATCTCAGAGCAACATCAACATTTTTTCCTTTCTAAATTTCCAGGGGAGGGAAAAAAAAGTTATCACAAAGGATTTTTCCTTTTTTTCTACCTCTCCAAAACACCTAATCTCATTTTAACTCGACTCCATCTGACCGTCAACGATACTAAGCTCTTCTATGAATAAACATGATGTTACAACTTGAAACTCCTGTGACTGAAGTCTATGAAAATGTAGCTGAAAGAGAAGCGAATCAGCCCCCCACCCCCTCCCACCCCCTTCCCCGGGGAGTTTTAGAGTTGAGCTGGGAAGAGGTGAACAGTCTCAGTTTTAAATTTCAAGGTCTTCAAACATTTTTAATATTCATGTTAAATCCTATAAAACCAAAAAAGGTATTAATGCTAATAAAATCCTTGTGTGTGTGGTTCCATTTGTAATCACAGTTCTCACGTTTGGAGTGGGATGTGCAATGTTGATAACAGCAAAGAAATCTCAAAACAGAAGAAATACATAAGGGAATATCTATGGTAATTTATTTAAATTAGCATACTGACGACCAGAATATATATATATATGTGTGTGTGTGTATATATATATATATATATATATATATATAGGCATTTTCATTTGAGTAGAGACATTTCTGATCATTTGAGAGAGGGAACAAGGTACAGGAAAGTGAACTAAATGTAACAAAGATGTGTTAGAACTTTATGGAAGAAACTTTCTTAAATTCTGTAATAAACAGTTAACCCCATTACTTAAAATAATTTTCACTGTCCTGGTGTCTTACTGGCATTTTTATCTCATTGCTTAGCCCCCAGGAAATGAAGAAAATAATCATGTGCTTAATTGTTATTAAAACTTCTGACAGAACAAATTGTGAAGTCTCCAGCACCAGTTTCTATATCCCATCAGCCTGGGCTCTCGTGTGCAATGTTAAACTATATAATTCTGCAGTTGTGTTCTTTCCAATATGTCTGGGACAGCAAGATCCTCCAACAACGTGAATTTTAGAAAAGGTCAGGGTCATCTCCTGGTCCTGGAATGGAAAACATAACCCCGCTTTCAATGGACTGGGAATTACAGTGAACAAAACTGAAAGTTTCTCTCCATTTCCCTTTAAAGGGGGAAGGGGGCACCCACTCATTTCTTCATGAAGTTACAACTGAGATTCCATGTTAAAAAGTAATTGTGTTTTCCAGAACATTTAAAACAGCATTGAAACCATACTTTTGGAGGGTGTTGGCTTTTTAATGCATTTGCATTTCTTTAAAGGAGCTCAAGTCCTATAATGTTTTAGGCACTGGCTATGCTTTGGCTCAGAGACTTGGCATTGAAATTATTCAGGTGAAATAATAAACGTAAAGATGGGCACTGTCAGGTGAGTGGGCAGCAAGTGTCAGAAGTGGCTTTAGCTAAGGAGGGACCAGCATCCCAATGACACCAGAACTCTGTTTCTCAGGGAAGGTGCCAAATTCAGTGACAGGGTCCCGGAGCTCTCTTTCCCCTTTTTTCTAGTGATTAATTGATTGGGTAGTCAACAAATGTTCATTGAGTACCTACTTTGTCCCAGGAACTGCTCTAAGCACTGACTTCCAACAACACTGACCTTCCAGTTGCCTCCACTATTCCCTGCTTATGTCAGTACCACTCGTGAATATGAACTAAGGATCGTGAGCACAGAAATCCTATCTGTACCCTTTATTCTAGTTCAGAATACCTTCTCATAGTCAAGGAAACTGGGGCTTTTGCAGAATTGGAATTTTATTTTCAAATTGAAAGAGGCACTTCAGGTAATTTGCAGGTAAGGAACCAAGATCCATGCCAACAAGTTAGTGAGTGACAGAGCTGAGTTAGAAACTGCTAAGTCCCAACGCAAGGCTCTTTAAACCAAACCTCCCCAGCTTGGATGTAATTTAATTGGGAGACATACATTAATCTCCAGGACAGAATGCCCTGGATGTCAGGCAACCTGAAGGAGTACGCGTCGCCCGCAATACTGGTAAGTGTTGTTCTCTTCTGCTTTCCTTCTGAAAGAGGGACAATCTCTCCAAACTTGACCTGCTATTAATTCATCATAAACTGATTTATTGCAATTCCTGTTTAGCCAAGATTATATTCACAAATCCAAAAAGGAATGGCAAGTTGAGAGAGCTGCACAGGGTGTGTGTATATGTGGGCACCTGTGTAATTAGGGTGCAAGAAGTGATATCCTGTACTAACACTATGGAAGTGGGCAATTGAAGAGAGAAGGTTGGGTGAGTCTCTCTTACCACTGGTAAGGTTGGGTGAGTCTCTCTTACCAAAGGTTCAAGTCAAAAAGTAGTTGCTCAACAATTTATTTGATTTTACGAATGAATAATGTAGTAATCCTTGCTGAGTTCCATTGTATTTTATTCCAACCAATTCCTCTATGGGTCTTAGAACAGGTTTATCAAAAGTAATTCTTGGTAAAGGGACAGTGTAACTTTTCCATGGAAAGTTATTTTTTTTTTTTTCTAAATGTTTTCCAATTATACATCATGTTAAGTATTTAACATTTAATGTTAATATTTTGATACCTTAGGAGAAATGATTTAATTATCTTCTGTCTTCACAGGAAACAAAAACAAATTTACGGAATTTGGTTCATCGAATCATGTATGCTTTCCAAAAACAAAGAGGTGTCAGGACAATTACTGGGGTAATGATTTTAAACAGATCTGATTAAGGGGGGAAATCTTGAGGGGTTTTGTGCTCAAGGTTGGCTTTAGAAGGCAACAGGAAATAGTTGGTTGTGGCTTGTCATCACAGTCAGAGAGGTTCAAAAAAATATTTAGGATACTGTAATAGCAAGCTTTCCTCTCTGGTTCTTGAGCTATGAAACAATGTTTTCTATTCAGGAAAAAAAAAAAAAAATCTTTAAAAGTAATACTCCAGAATCCAAAAGTTAAGAGTGCCTAAGGCTAGCTCTCACAAACCATGATGGGTCATTTTGAAGAAACATACTAGGCATGAGAGGCTTTGCAAAAGATGTTTTCTCAAATCCAAGGACTTTACCCCTGAGATTGTTATGGGTGACAGGGCAAGGAAGGCTCACAGGTAAGGCAAAGAAGTTCCCAAGGTGAGACTGGCCAAGGAGTTCGTGAAGAGCGCAGGTGCACAGAGAGCAGAAACCTTCCTGCATAACTCACTGCAGGCGGAGGGAACACCTTCTTTCCAGAACTCCTCCAAAACTTTCTCAAATGTAAGTTGGACACATTATTTTTAAATTCAGTTGCTGATCAAGAATTGAGTCACAATGGCCTCTAATCTATTTTTAAATAAATCATATTTTAAATAGCATGTTTTAAAACTGCGTATTGAAATTGATTTGTGCCTGAACTATATTTTTCACCCTCCAAATTCTGAAAGCAGGCTACTTCAACCAGTAGTTTTTTGTTTTGTTTTGTTTTGTTTTTTTTCCAGGAGGTAAGATTGCAAAACACGGTAGCAAAGATCTCAATGAAACACACACACATACACACACACATATCATTTACTGCCCAGAGTTCAGCACCCTAAACAAAACCAAGTTAACACTTCCCTGGAAGCTGCTGGCTTCTAGGGAAAGCAATAATATCAATTATGGTTAACATCTATGATGTATTAACATGTAAAGAAAATAGCAGTGATAAAAACAGCTCAATTAAAAAAAAAAAATCAGTCCTACTCCAACAGTTAGCCAATCAGAAAGCAGGTCACATCTTGTTAGCTGCATTAAATACATGAACCGTCATGAATTCTCCATGGCTCGGTTGACAATTCCAGCATGTGTGTTTTATTTTATAAAGCAACCTTAATTGAGTCCTTTTTCAGAGTTGAGAGTCAACAATCAATCAGAAATTCCACCACAGCTATTCCCTAAAAACTCTTCTGCCATAAATGCTCTGGGCATTTGCAGCCAGCGGAAAAGACTCAATTCCCAGCGAGTTCCACTTCCTAAAGCGACTTGGGTGCACCCACAACAAACTCCTTTTAAAAACACTTCAACACAAAGCCCCAACTTACAGGCAACTGGAAACCCAGCAGCTAGACCCGCCAGCTAAGTTAAGTTAGCAAAGCAGAAAAGTTAACTGGCATTAAATATTTAAATTACAGCAGGCAAGTCTGGAGTTTTGCATTTAGAAAGTTTGGAAAGTCCTGTTCTTCCTTCTGCTCCCAGAGTTGCTCTCCTGGGAGGGTGGGGTCCCTCTCAGGCATCAGATCACAAATATGCAAAAACTAGAGCTCACTCAATGCTGATCCAGCTCCGGGAAAGGTGGGGCTCCCTAAGTGGCAGTCCCCTGCTGGAGCAGCAAGTCAGGACCCCCAGGCGCAATGCAACAGATTTCTGAAATTCACATAGAAATACACAAACGTGTGTCCCTCCAAGGCTAGTTCAGAAAGTATGCAAGGTTACTCTTCTCTCCCTTCACCTTGATTTTGATGACTTTGAAAAGCAAATGCAGGTCACAGCAGACTTCCTCGGGAATGTGCTAAAAAATTATTTCCCGGATGCAAATGATCACCAAATGCTTTGCAATTCTATCTCAACAAACACTAACAGGCGCGACTCCGAGCCGGCAAACCCGAGTCCCGGGAGAGCAAGCCGTTTCTAGAGACCCGGCTTGAGAAGCAAGTGCTGGGTCTTCTATTTCAAGATTCTGGCAGAAACTGTCCCCTGCTCCAAGAGTTGCAGTGCCTAGAAGCCCAAACGTTCAAACTAGTGGCTCAATCCTGGAGCTCTTTCTCCCATTCCTGGTAGTATCCAGTGGGACACTTCCCATCGAATTCAGCCAGAAACCCTAGGAAAAGCCTACGCACAGTTGGAGGGAAAAAAAAAAAAAAAAAAAACACGCCCAAGGCTGAAGTACTTACCTCCGTGCGAGACTGCAGTCTCTTGTTCATCTCATAGATTCGGTACTCTGGCTGCACCATGTAGGGTGTGTGTCTCCTATAAAATGGGCCGAAAGGAGAAGAATAGAAGGGGTCGTGTGGCGTGCTGGACATCTTGCCTGCTTGTCTGGAATCAAGCTCAACAGAGTAACGAGAACGTCCATGCAGAGCACATGGGCTGTGTTCTTCGCAGTACAAAGTAGACGCACGCACACACACACGCTCACATACACACACTCACACAGAGCAGGCAGGCAGGCAGCCTGAGCACACTGGCTAGGAACTGCTGTGGGGGCCCTCTATAGCGAGAGTGGAGAGGGAGCGCGGGAGTGGAGGGAGGGAGGAGGGAGAGAGAGCACGGGAGAGGAGGGAGGGAGGAGGGAGCTCCAGAGAGAGAGAGGGAGGCAGGCTGGTAGGGAGGAAGGGAGGGAAGGAGGGAGAGAGACACTGGATAGCTTTAGGCACCACTGCTTGTTTTTAAAGAAGCGGTTTGTGGAGAGGTCATTTCCTGTCCACATTGGAAACTAGTTCACAAATATAATTCTGCTCACAGTCTGACAGAGGTCTAAGGTTTGGGTTTCATTTTTTTTTTTTTTCCCCTCCAGCCAGGACCCTTCACACCCTGATTGCCAAGCATGTTAGCACAGAGGTGGTTTAGCCGCTGCCTGAGCCTCTCTGCTCACCCTGGACAGCCACACTGTTGTCATGTATCAGAAATGTGATTACTACAAAACACAGAAGCATGTCGGAGCCCAGGACTCACTCACATGCAAAGCTTTCCTTCCCACCGCCCTGATCCTCCTATGGAGTTTTGGCTTTACTTGCAGTAGTTCCAGGAGCTTATTCTGTTCTTTGCATTTCTACCCCTCGCACCCTGTCCCTAGCCCTGCCTGGTCCCCACCTTCCCTCCTCCTCTCCCTTCTCCTAAGACTTCACTCAAGCCCTCTGAAGGCAGCTTAAGGGGGCCTGGATTCAGGGCACCTGGGCATTTCCAGGTACAGACAATCTTTCCCAAAGGGGAACACCTAAAATAAATCCAAAGGGCAGTGGGTTTCTTTCTTTCTTTCTTTCCTTTTTTAAACTAAGAGTAAAGGAATTCCAAAAGCAGACCTCCCAATAAGATAGGAAAAGCAAAAATAGGGTGACTCTCATAAATATGACCATGGAGAATTCAGTTGAGTAAGACCTTGCAGATAATTGAACGAACTATCCCCAGGTACCATGTGCAACTTGGATGGAGACAAGGTCTTTATTTTCCAAGAATGGTCAAGTATATAAATCTTCTCCTGACTGTGGTATGTGATACCTGGAAATAAACCTTAACCGCCCAGCCCACGAAAGGGAAAGGAATCTCTACAGAGAATTAGATCTACATGACAATCAAGAGTCCCTCCTGAGGTGGGGGTGGGGGCAAAAGGTTAAGTGCTAGGCTATAAACAGAGAGGTTGGTGGTTCGAAACCACCCAGTGGTGCCATGGAAGAAAGTCCTGGTGATCTGTTTCTGAAACTGCACAGTGCTCTGAAATCCTGCGGAACACAGCTCTATCCTGGAACTTCATGAGTCGGAATCGACTGGGCAGCAACTCGGACTGGTAAACAGAACTATCGAATTCTGCTGGAAACAATGATAACCAACCAGACGGAGCTAACACCCAGCTAGGACCACAGTACAAAGGAATGAAAGCAGATAGTGGTGCATGGGATATCGGAATGTAAATGCATGCAAATGAGACATTTCCTCTTTTTTAATAAGCAGATTAATTAACTTTGTGCCCCAATCATGACTTGGGGTATCTCCAAGTCACTAGCCAGCAGGGGATAAGATATTGCTAATAGTGCAATTTACACTCTTAAGAACACAGAAATGCCTCCAAATTGCTAGCTTGGTCAGTTCCTTTCTATAATGACATGGAAAGCTTCTAGAGCAGCCCCACACAGTAACATCTCTTGCCACAGTGAGATTGCAGGAGATAGTGTGCTAAGGCTGCATGAAACTTTTGCAGGAAGACCCCAAGGTTGGCCACCGTGCCTGGTTTCAGGTTTCATTACAAATCCAAATGCTGGACCCAATTTGCTGCAAAGTTTCTTAAAATATACACCCTTCTAAAGACAAGATTTCAAACAAATTTGGCCTGATTTATGTTTTGCTATGGTGGCTGCTACAAGGCTTAACGTTCCGTTGTGTTGAAATTCCCAAACTAAAGTCAGTCCAAGAGCTTGTGTTGATAAGGCTGGTTCGGGACACGAGTCACACAAACACCTAGCAGGTGGGAGCAGCCCGCTCTGACAACCGTGGAAAGGCCCTCAGATCCCAGTAGGCCATCATTCTTGAACAGGATTAAGGTTTTCTGTCATTATTTCTTGCAGGCTCTTCCTAGTTGTAATCAGAAGTAGTTCTTTCTAGTACCATGTTAAGACTCCACACTCGGATATACCCGGAACGTGGGCCAAGTCATCTGTTGTCCCCACAACTTCGAGAGTCTGCAAACTAACTTTCCCCACATCACATGCCACATCTTTCTCCAGCAGAGCAGCTGATGGGTCCAAACTGCCGATCACTCAGTTAGCAGCCATACAAGCTAACCACTGCACCACCAGGACTCCCTACTAAAATGTTCCAAAAAAAAAAATTCCCTAAACTGATTTCCCTGTTCCCAGACCCACAGTCCACTTCTATGTTGTCAGAATGCTGACTGGCGAAAAATGAAATTGATCATACCCCCGCTTTTCCCTACTGCCAACAGGAAACTGTCTAAGCTCCTTATGATGGCCCAAGGGCTCATCAAGACTAGCCTCCCCCTGCCTCCCCAGTCCCATGTCTCCTCCCCTGTGAATCTGTTTTGCTTACTAATTAATTTACTCAGCCAATATTGAGTTCACAGTGGATAGAAGCAGAGGATATAGCCCAGACAGACTGCATGTCAACTAGGTCAACATCACTTCCTCACAGTATAGATTTGAGCAAGTGCCTTGACCTCTGTGCCTCAGTCATCTCATTTGTAATGGGGATAATGATAGTAACTAGTCCGTTGTTGTTGTTGTTATGTGCCGTCGAGTCATACCCGACTCATGGCGACCCTCCTTGGGTTTCCAAGGCAGTATCACTATGCAAGTAGATTGCCCCATCTTCCTTCCGAGGAGTGGCTGGTCGGTTTGAACCGCCAGCCTTCTGGTTAGCAGTCAAGTGCCTTAGGCACTACACTACCAGAGCTCTCTTTAGATCATTGCAGAGGATCCACTGAGATAATTCTGTTGGATATAGGAAATAATACATTGAATATGCATATATGCTCAGAATATGAGAGTTATTAGGCATCCCTGGGGACACAAATGGTTAAGCACTCGGCTGCTGACTGAAAGGTTGGGGGCTCAAGTCCACCCAGAGGCACCTCTGAAGAACGGCCTGGCAATCTGCCTCTGAAAGATCCCAGCCACTGACAACCCTCAAGTGCAGTTCCACTTTGAAACACATGGGGTCACTCTGAGTTAGAATCGACTCAAAGGTAATTGGCTGGGTTTTTTATTATCTGCTTGGACTCCCTGGGTGGTGCAAATGGTTAATGCTTGGCTGCTAACCAAAGGATTGGAGGTTAGGTTTCACCCAGAAAGAAAGACCTGGCCATCCACTTCAGAAAGAATAAATCAACCCTCGAATGCCCTACAGACACACGTTGTTAGGTCACCACAAGTTGCAGTCAACATGACAGCAACTGATTGGTTGGTTGATTGGTAACATACAGTTAGGTACTAGAAGGTCAGAGATGGTAGCCTTCAATATGAATTATGTCTCAACACAAAGAAAACAAAAATCTTCACACCCGGACCACAAAGAATGGAGAGAAGATTTCAAGGATTTCGTTTCACTTGGATCCATAATCAGCTCCCATGGAAGCAGGAGTCCAATCAAATGATGAATTGCATTGGGCAAATCTGCTGCAAAAGGCCTCTCTAAAGTGTTCAAAACAAAGATGTCACTTTCAGGACTAAGGTGCACCTGACCTAAGCCATGGTATTTTCAATTGCCTCATAAACATGTGAAAACTGCACAATACATAAAGAAAAAACAAAGAAGAACTGATGCCTTTGAATTGCAATGTCGGTGACGAGTACTGAATATCCCATGGACCACCAGAAGAATGAACAAATCTACCTCGGAAAGAAGTACAACCGAAATGCTCCACAGAAGAGAGATAGGTGAGACTCCGTCTTACGTGCTTTGGGTATGTTCCCAGTCGGAACCAGTCCCTGGAGAAGGACGTCGTGCTTGGTAAAGTAGAGCGTCAGAGATAAAGGGGAAGATTCTCAATGAGATGCGCTGACACAGTGATTGCAACAATGGCCTCCAATATAACAACAACTGTGGGGGTGGCCAGGACTGCGCAGTGTTTCCTTCTGTTATCCAAAGGATTGCTGTGAGTCGAAACCAACTTGATGACAAGGAGCAACAGCAACACTAGAGAACATTAGGAAGTGAACCTGAACATAGTATATGGGCTCTCTGCACTATTGACTATGGCAATAGTGGGGAAAATGGGAAGGTAGCATAGAAGGACAAGTAAACATTTGGAAGCACAATTTCAAATGATGGTATTCACTATGAAGGGAAGAAATAAAAAGAAGAGAGAAAATTCTTTCTCCTTTGGGTCACAGCATGCCTTCTGTATTTGTCTGCTAAAGCTCTGATATAGAAAACTCACAAAAGCTGTCATCTTTAAGTGTTTACTATGTGCCAGCCACTGTGCTGAATGGTTTACTCACTACTCTTGGTTAATCTCACAGTAATCTCACAATAAGCCTGTGGTTGACTCAGTTACTATCCCCATTTTATAGATATGAAAACTGGGACTTCTAGAGGCTAAGAAACTCCTCCATGGTCATGCAACTAATAAGTGACAGAGACAGGATTCAATCTTGGTCAGCTTGAGTTCCTGGGCCTTACGCATTTTGCTAACTCTGAATCCACCTCATCTTTGTGCATTTCTGTCCTTTGTCTCCAGGGGCCAGCAAGATGCTGAGCCCATGGTTGGTGCTCAAGACATATTACAAAAATAATAATAATAATGAAAAAGCCAAGCTCACTGTTATCAAGTTGCTTCTGAATCATAGCGAACCCC